CTTTACATCAGCTTTATTAGACTTTGGATTAAAAAATAGGGTGTTCCAATTTAAAAAATTTTTATTTGATCTTGATATGATAAAGTCAATATTTCAAACATTTAATACACTAACTTATACGATAGTATGTCTTTAGATTAAAATTAATTAATGGATTGGTTCCATACATAAAAAAAACAGAAAAAAAATTTGAAGATATGAAGATTTGTTTGTTTTTTTATTTAACACCCTGTATTTCCTAAATGAATTAATCAAATTCAAAAAATCAAACATAGGATCGTAGGGAATTGAAATATCTTTCTAATGATGTATTTTGATACCCCTTTTTATTTGAAATTTTTTAGGGATTGGCATCTCCGCTTAGGGAGTTAAAGTTAAGAAAATTATATGTCCTTTCAATAAAAATCGATCTGTTTTTGTATAATACCGACATTAGCATTACCCAAGGTGTCCGACCGACGGCTAAAACCTTTTAAATTTTCAAGATTATAAACTGGATAGCATTTCTCAAGTTTAAGATCATTGGGGATTATTCCTCTTATCTTCATTTTTACATAATTTTAGCCGTCGGTCAGACCTTTGGGTAATGCTAAGGTTACCAACTCTCGGTCGTACGAAAAGAGTACATTGACAAAAAGAGTATACTTTCTAAAAAAAAAAGAAAGAAAAAAAGATAAAAATGAAGAAGAAGAAGTCTTTTGTTTTAAATGCAGTATTAAAATACATGTACATAAAATGACATTCTTAATTTTTATTGACAACCTCTATTCATTCTTCATAAAGTTACAAATAAATATGTTTTCATATTTTACTTATATACACTACTCAACAAAATTAAAGGATCAGTTGTTCCACCTTGTAAAAATAGGTAAATTTCGAGATAGATTAACTTTGTCAAAAATCATCGTATCGAGATTTTTAAAAAAGCATTTTAAAGCTTGAAATCTCTACTTTTCAAACCTGTACTTTAAAAAACCGTATTACTCATATCATAAAATTGCACAAACATAAATGAAGATGCATCAGATCTCAAAATTTTTTCTGAATTGGTGGCTAGGCTCAAGTTAAAACTTTTATGAAATTAATGTCCCTTCATATAGAGTACTTTGGCGTATGATTCAGTTAAAAATTCGAGTACCCAAAAATGGGCTAAATTTAGCGTCACTCTTTCGTAAAAAATTTGGAGATCTGATGCATCTTCATTTATGTTTGTGTAACTTTATGAAATATGAGTAATACAGTTTTTTAAAGTACAGGTTTGAAAAGTAGAGATTTCAAACTTTAAAATGCTTTTTTAAAAATCTCGATACGATAATTTTTTATGAAGTTATTCTATCTCGAAATTCGCCTATTTTTGCAGGGTGGAACAACAAGTGATCCCTTAATTTTGTTGACTAGTGCAGCGTAATCAGAATTTTTTATGTTAACGACAATAGAATTGAGAATATAAAATTGATTCGCATATTCAACGTATTTTGCATCTTATAAGTTTTTTTAATAAATATATGTATATATATAACCAAATCTTTAACAAAACCTTTATAAAACAAATTAAACTTCTATATAATATATAAATAAACATTTATATACTACATACTGCCCAAAGCAAACACAGCTTCAGTACAAGTCAAACAAAACTTTTTATAAAATAACAAATTTGATTATTAAATAATAATTTTTTAAATGTTGTCTCATTTCTCAAAAACAAGTACAATAAGTGAAATACAAGAGTACGCTGCTTTCCGACCTCGAAAAGAGTACGATTGGTAACCCTAGCTAATGCCGATAGTATCATAACTTTCAAGCCTTCGAAAAATTGTATTATTTTTTATAGTATTTTGAAAAACTATTGAGGTAAGTCACGAGAATATGTAATGAAAATGAAGTTGGGAGGGTTTCATTTAAAAAATTCAATGTGACCTTGATTATAATGACGCCATCCATCCAGGATTAAATCAATGGTATCTTCTTATGTCCCCCTCCGAACCATATAACTTTTGTTTGAAACATTTTTTCGTGTCTACTATAGTTTTCAAGAAATCTTAGGGGGTCATGCTCAGTCAGGAAAAAAAATGTGTGATTTTTGGGAACTTTTTTGCAAAAATTACAAGACTTTAAAAATATATACTTAAATAAAATATTCATTTCTTAATTTACATAGAGTCATCTATTCCAGGCCTATATAGTACATTTTCAAAAAAAGTTGTAGCCTCCAAAACACAAGACTCGTAAAAACAGTTAGAAAGGAACGGTCTTTGTTTCGACTGCCGCACTAGATCTGCTCCTAACAGTCGAGCAGAGTATACTTTGAACGTCTATAACTCCGTCAGTCTTAATTGGATTAACTTTCAGAGAATATTTTCCAAATGTTATATTTACAGAAAATGTCAAAAACCAAAAAATCGATTTTTTTTTTTTAAGTTCCTAACTAAGCATGACTCCTTAACGCTTTATTTAAAATGGAATATCTTTTACACACACACACACACACACACACACGGTGTACAAAAAGTTCCGGATCCCTTAAATATCTTGAAAAGTAAGCATTTCTGAAAAAAGCCATTGCAGGTTGTTTCTTTTATTTACATTTTTAGGTAAAAATGGATTTTTAATGCAAAAATGAAAATAAGAGGAACAACCTTCAATGATCTTGTTCTTCACAAATATTATTCAGGTCATGATCCTGAACAACATTTAGGACCTCCTTCATTAATTTCTGGTTATTACATTAATTGACGATTAACATGCAGAAATACCAACAATTTAATGTATCAGAATGTCTCCTCTCTCTTCTGTGTTTAGTTCTCACGTTGGCAATCGTGGTCATTGAGTTAACCATCGATTAGCGTTAATCGAGGTTAGTGAAAGAGGCCCTTAAGAGGTTTTAGTCGTCGGTCGAACACTTTGAGCAATGCTAACGCCGGTGGCACTGTAACTTTCAAGCCAACTCGAAAATTATTTAATGAAGAAATATTTTGTTACAGTGTTTTAAAGAACTCTCAAGATAAGTTATAAGAATGTGTAATGAAAAATTGTGTTTAAAATAATTTCATTTAACAAAAATCAATATGACTTTGGCCTGACCTTGATGACAACACCTAAGGTCAAATTAAACTTTTTAAGCCTTAAAACTTTTATCTGAAACAGTTTTCTATAAAACTTAATATTTTTTTTTAGATATTTAGGGATTCGAGGGTATTTTTCCCTCACCCTGTATACACGCGAACGCGCGTACGTGCATGTGTGTATGTATGAAAAATATACCTTCGGACCTCGAAATATCTAAAAAATATATAAGTTTTATATATGTACATACACGTACATATACAGGGTACATATACAGGGTGTTACAGATACATACTAGGCAGTACGACGGGTTGCGCGGCAAACTTTGCATGGCCAAGCGTGGTTTAATAGACAATGACTTTATACATTATAAAGTTTATACTACAAAGTTTTATTATTTATATTATAAAGTTTATGTTATAAAGTCACTGTTATTGTCTATTAAACCACGCTATGCAAAGTTTGTCGCGCAATCCGTCGTACTGCCTAGTATATATCTGTAACACCCTGTACATACGTACATATACAGGGTCTTCAAAAAGTTTAGAAACGCTAAAATATTTCGAAAATGATCAACTCTAGTGAAAAATATATAAGAGCAAAGTTGTAGGACTTCAAAAAATCTACCTAACTGATGATAAGAGGTTGACCTGATGGAGTCTGCAAGGTTATATGAAGTTGAATTTTTTAAATGGAACTCACTATTTTTCATTGCATATTCTTGTAGCGCACCTCGAGAGCTTTCCAAAACACTGTAATAAAATAATTTTTCATGAAGTATTTTTCGAGTTATAAGGCATGAAAGTTACAGTAACGCCGGCATTAGCATTACGCAAGGTGTCCGACCGATGGCTAAAGCCTGTTAATTGTCGTTCAGGATCATGTTCTGGATAACATTTCAAAATCAAGACCAATGGAGGTTATACCTCTTATTTTAATTTTTACGTAAAAATAAATTTTTAGTGCAAAAATTAAAATAAGAGGGATAATCTCCAATGGCCTTGATCTTAACAAATGTTATCCAGAACATGATTCTGAACAATATTCAAGAGGTTTTCGCCGTCGATCAGACACTTGCGTAATACTAACGCCGACGGTAGTGTAACTTTCAAGCCTTAGAACTCGATAAATACTTAATAGAAAATAATTTTATTATAGTATTTTGAAAAGAGAGAGCTGTCATTTAAGAAAATTGATGTGACCTTGATCTTATCTTGGCGGCGCCATTCAAGGTCAAACCAATGTGATCAGTAAAGCCTCGTCTACAGTTAAGTCGGTTGACGCTTCTCAAATGTCGTTAGTCGTAAGATAGGATCTGACCAATCCAAATAAAGCCCGGTAATCGATATGGACACGAAAAATCAAGGTTATACGCATGCGCACGACATACGACGTCTCACGACTGATTGTAGACTAGACCTAAATAAATTTTTTAAACCCTACAACTTTTGTTTGAAACATTTTTCTCAAGAATGTTTAGTTTTCGAAATATTAAATATAATTTCCACACTTTTGACAGACAGTGCGCGCGCGCGCGTGTGTACACATGCCCACGCGCGCGCGCGCGCGCGCGCGCGCACACACACACACACACACACACACACACACACACACATACATACATACATATGTATACATATATGGGACATTCCACGCATTCCAAATCGGACAGTCTTTGTCACCGATCCCTATCGATTTTTTACTGATTTTTTAATATATTCCTCAGATTAAAATACGTATTCGGTTATTTTTTTGGATTTTTATCTCTATTAGTTTCCTAGATATGAATTTTTTAATATTTAATAATTTATTTTATTTTGTAAACGTTTAGTTAAACTTCTGTTTAAATTATGGAAAAACAAAATAACCACATCGAATTGTTCGTCTTGAAATTCTCTAGAAGGAAAAGAAAAAAAAACTCATATATATAATACTACTATATTGCTAACGACAATTAAAAGCTGCAGCAAACATCATGGTGCAGACGATCGTTTCTCACTTCCACAATTCATGTACTTTCGCAATGCGCATGCGCGTGTTTCCAACCTATTTTATCATATATTAGCTGCTTTCCATTTACGCCGATTCTCAAATAATTCTCACTTGTGACGTCATAACTCAGTTGAATGTACGTTCCTTTTGCATTCTGACAAGTGAGATTCAACTGAGTTTTTACCCATAATCTGCACAAGATCGAGACCGTCGTGCTTTAGTGAGTCTCGTAAACTCACTTCAAAGTTCAAAGTGAGGTTATGAACCTGTGTTGACATGTGATAACTTTTTACCAAAGTAAGCAAGTAGTGACGTCATTAATCTGAGTATAAAATACTCAGCTCACTTCAGACGTTCAGACTCAGTTTCACTTGTGTGTAAATGGAAAGCAACTATTATCACATTTATTGTGTCGGATGTGCTCAATAGTGAAGTTGAGTTTGTTATTTGGTTTATATAAAAGTACTAAAAAAAGGAAATAATGCCGCGATCTTGTTATACTTGGTATTTCTTTTAATTATACTTTATAATATCTAATCTCCAAAAACATAGAGAATAGACTGCGCGATCCGTGTCACGTGTGTCAAAATGGTCTTCTTCTTCTTCTTTACTTAATGGCTCCCGCCTCCAGATAATAAAAGGAGGTTGATACGGCCAGATCACGTCTGTATGTTTTTCTTTTGAATGGACCGGCCACCTCGAACCGGGCGAATAATACGAAAAATGATGTAATCGAAATGAAAATGGTGAAATGCCCCCTCAAACACT